GAGTAAGAAACAATCAATAGTTGCTAGATCCTCAGCTAAAGTAGAATATAGGGCAAGGTCACAATTACTATGGCTACGATCCCTTCTAGAGGTATTGGGGGTGGACTACGAGAAACCAATGATGCTCTATTGTGACAACCAGCTATCAACATTGCACATAATCTTGTTCAACATGACAGAACTAAGCACATTGAGGTTGATAGGCATTTCATAAGGGAAAGAGTCTCTTCAGGGGAAGTTTGTTTACCATTCATCACATCAGAAGAGCAATTGGCTGATATCTTGACCAAGGGAGTTCCAAGGGGGAAATTGACACACTACATAAGCAAGCTGGGCATGATTGACATCTATGCTCAGCTTGAGGGGGAGTGTAAAGAGACTGGGCCAAATGGGCCCTAACAGCCTCTCTTGTAATATCTTTTATTTTTTGTTGATGGGTCTCACTTAATGGGCCTGTTATTTATTCTTGTTTTATTTTCTTTATGTAACTGCCAAGCTGGCCGCCCACTTAAGGGTATTCTTGTCATCATCAAATATTTAGATATTAATAAAATAGGGTTAGAGGAGAAGGGAGAATTATTCGACTCCTTCTTCTCTTACCTCTTCTCTTCGCCATCTTCCTCTCTTATATAGTTATTCAGACCTATTTTATTCTGCTAATCACAAAGTTTAATCTTGATATTAGAGGATTGATTTACATCTGAACCCTTATACCTGACATCTATAATTACCTATGATAATAACGACCTAAACCTTCATTTTTGATAATATAATCTTAATAAAAATGACAGTAAAATAAAGTTTATATGTTGATAAAACATGTGTTTTTAACCAAATGTATATTGTAAACTGTCTGAAATTTACCCTTTTAAGCATAAAATATAACAAAAATTACAAGAAAACTAGGTACCTATATATATTATGAACTATATAATTGGTTAAGTCTTCGGGTCTTAATCAATTTGAACAGCAACAACCAGGACCGACACAATTATTAATTGAGACGAAACCATAGAACCAAAACCAACATAATCGATTCAGTTCAGTCGAGTAGGCCTCACCCATTGACATTTCTACATATGGTGTACTTACACCACCTGTATCCCAACTCAAGTTGTTTGTCTAGTTGGAGAGAATTATTTGTCTCCATATTCTGTTCGGCTCCTCATTGTATCTCCAAAACAATTTGCCTAATAGTGTGTCATATTGAATGGTTTTAACATTTTACATCCAAACTACCATTAATCCTAGGGCTGTACACCTTGTTCCAGCTTGTCAAATGGGTCTTGTAGTCCTACCCCTGCCATTAGAAATCTCTCATTCTTTTTTCTATCACAACAGCTGCACTAACAAGTATTCAGAATAGAGATAAAGCATAAGGTGGGAATGAGCTTAACACCCCTCTAATAAGAGTAAGGTTACCACCTTTCAACAAATTTAACATTCCAAGTTGCCAACCTTCTGTCCGATCTTTTCAGTACGCTACTGGCTCCCAAACTGATTTAGAAATACACTTCTCTCCTGAAGGGAGCCCAAGATATTTTGTAAGAAGCTTCCTGGTCATGCAACCTAGTATCTCCGCCAGCTGGTTGACATTACACTGATCACCCACAGCCATCAATTCACTTAACGTATATTGATCTGCAGTCCAGAACCACCTCAAACCATTTCAAAATGAAACCAAGATGAACTGTTTGATCTTGTGATGCCTTGCAGAGAAACAGGACTCATCTGCAAATCATAGTAAACTACCGAAACTATCAAATCATTATTTTGTGGCTTTCTCAGATGAGATGCTCCACCATTTCAATTCTGACACCATAATCATCATTGCAATGTATGAAACTTTTAACATTCTTTGTGGACAAGTGCCCAGAGTGATTATGTGAGAAAGGCAACTGGTTACGTCAGAATGGTGACCCTTTTTTATTCTCTCATGACCAGTACATCATTGTAAGAAGAGAAAACAAAGCATTAGACATGATTAAAGATGCAGAAAATGCAGCTAATCAATTGAAAACAGTTCAAGAAAGAGTGAAACTACTAAACTCAAATGCACATAAAAAAGCAAAATGATTAGAAGTAATGCACATAGAAAAGCAACCGTTTACTCATTAGTGTAGTGCTAATGAGTAAACAGTATATGCAGGCTTTCACAAACTACTATATATACCCTACAATATAAATCATTATGGAATGGAAAGTAAAACTAGCTGGAGAAATATATTTAACTTGAGCAGAATTATGAACTTCACAAGAACTTGTATTTGCAAATCAACCGTTCCCTCTTCAGACAAGGAAAAAAGGATTATGTGGCATTGCACTAGGGTAGAAATACTATGGAGTATTTAGTGTAAGGAAATGCAAGAATATTTTAAAACAAAGAAGAAAATGATAGATCTTAGCACAGTTAGAACCATCCATTAGGTATCATCTAGTGATGAGTTCAAAGGCATAACTATGTATAATCTCTTAAGGGTGGCAACACTGCATAAACCTGAGCTTGGAAGGTTAAAATTGAACTTTGATGCAGTCTCAGGAATCCAGGTATCACAGTTGTCAAAGGCGATGCTAGGCAACAAGGCGCCCTTGGAGTCTCACCTCGCCTAATTGCCAAGCAGTTTTCTATAGCGTGTTATAACAAACCTTTGTATTCTTAATTTTTTGGGGTTATAATCATAAAATAGACATTTTTAAACTAAAATTTCATTTTGTGTTTATATACTAATTTCTTTTTGTTATTTTCTTATTTGTTAGGGTTTAATCAACACAAACATTGCTAAATGCTGTATTAAACCCTCAAAGACTTCAAAACCTGAACCAATAAGTAAGAAAGAACATAAAATGTTGTCCAATCAACACATTTTCTTCTTTTTCTTTACTAATTTTGTGTTTTTATATACTATTTTCTTCTTCTTCTTCTTCTTNATCAACACATTTTCTTCTTTTTCTTTACTAATTTTGTGTTTTTATATACTATTTTCTTCTTCTTCTTCTTCTTCTTCTTCTTCTTCTTCCACCTTTTCTTTTCTTCTTTTCCTATAACAGAAATAGGGGTTCAGCCCCTATATTTTTTGAATTTTCTTTTCTTTCTTCTTTTTCTTCTCATGAATATGTTGGAAAATGTTGATTTTCTATACTTTAACATGAAGTTTATACTTTTCTTATGAAAATTATGGATATTTATAATATGACTATGGAACCAAGGGAACTACCCTAAGATACATGTTTTTACTTGAAAAAAACCCTTCGCCTAGGCGACTAGGCACCCCCCTGTTGCCTGCCTCGCCTTGGCGCCTTGAAAACTATGCCAGGTATGTCAAGCATAGAGGGTATAATCAGAGAAGAAAAGGTACAATTCAAAGCTTCAATAAACCAGCTGGTTCTGGAAATTCTTTAGGGACATAAGTTCAAGCAGTACTTCAAGGCTTAAAGTTTGCACTGTTAGAGTGTTCTAATCATGCATTCATTAAAGCAGGGGTGGAGGGGTATTCTGTGAGTGATGTGGAACCTAGGGAGGTGTTTGCCATTAAAATTGCATTATAGAATATAATGGATCTGAAGGAGGCTTGCCTTTGTTTGCTCAGTGATAACCAGACCGTCATTAGGCACATTAATAGTGCCGTGGAAGTTTCATCCTGGCTTAGTTAACATATTATCCCTGATATTTATTGGGCTGTACAAGTCCTTTTCAACTATTTCTTTTGATTATGTAAAGAAAAATGAAAATGTTGATGCCCATTGTTTGGCAAAGAATTTTTGTGGTTCTTCTGAGTTTGTTTCATGGTCTGGTTGGCCTCCTGATTGTTTTTCACTTTTCTGAATAAAATCATTTCTTTTAAGTGAAAAAAAATAGACATCAATTGGTCATCTCTTGGGCCAAAAACATCACATCAGCACCTTGGAAGCTCAAGTTTACTTTCAGAGAAATTGACACATTTGCAAGGAAGTTCAACTCTCAGTTTGGTTGGGTTAAAAGGGATGCAAATGGGATGGCGGATACCCTAGCAAAACAAGGGGCAAATAGATCTTCATTGTATTGGGCAGAATTGTAACTGATTGCTGGAGATTGCAATTTCCTATGCAATCTTTAGCTATTGTATCTTAATCTTTCTGTTATTAATTAAAGATTTTTACTGATCAAAAAAAAAAAAAAATAGACATCAATTTTTTTATCTAATGTTGCCTTCAAGTGATCAAACCAATCACCCTCCATGCATGTGCACCCAATTCACCAAATTGATTATCAGCTTCTTCAGTTTTGTGGACAATGAACTTTTACTCACCTTGTTAACAGTACACAGTGGTGGTGGAAATGGAGGCGGACCAAGCATCCCTCTCTGCTCGGAAGCATCAGAACTACCTGACTTTGTGTACTGAGCAATGTCTATCGAACGACAGGAAGGGAACAGAGTTTTAAGGCCATTGATGTAAGGAACAAAGATGGGTTAAAAAAAATCATCTATAAATGAAGTCACATGCAGAAGGAACTTGACAGATTACTAACAGAAGGGAGGTCTTTGTCCGATGACATCACCCAAAAGGGGATGCCTTAGTCAGTTAGTCCATTTTGAAAAGAGGGGAGGTTTCTGTATTTACGAGAAGCGTCAAGGGAGATTTAAGCCATTTACCCATTTTGGCTGAAATTTGGAACTGATGTACCTTGTATTTAGAGGTTTCTGATTAGATAGGTATGAGCTTTGGGAACAATGTTGTGCTCATTAAGGTGGACTTCCAGGTCTGAAAATAGTTTTGCTTATTTACTTGCTAGGTATGGAATCTCTAAGGAAACCTTGTGTTGGGGTAAACTTGGACTAGGGAGGATCACTTAAAGTTTTCTGGTAGCATGTGGAAATGAGTTTGTTAGTTTCTATATGTTGGCTTTGTAATAATACCTTTTATTCCTCATCTTTATAAGATTATTCTTTACTGGTGATTATCAAAAAATTAAAAAAAAAAAAAATCAAAAGAACTTGCAAGAGCTATAGAAGCATTTGTACCTTATTTTGTATGTTAAGGAACTGTTCATGGTCTGTTTCCTCTCCTTCAGAGTCGGCCATTTCCTCACACTCAAACTGTACATTTTCCCCGATTTCATCATCAGAGTCACTTAGCTCTTCCTGTTCCATTACAATTTCAGGAAGAGACTGGTCCCCTGTGTTATCTTCAGTATATATGTTTATGTTCCTGCTTTCTTGAACCATTGCGCGAGTACCCAGAGCATGTTCCTTGTTGCACTGTTTGTTTGAAACAGAGGCTGCAGTATAATGTTTGCTACTTTGGTAAGATGGACTACTGACCTTTCCCACCATAGGTCCACAATCTAGTGCACTAATTTGTTGTCCCTTAGACCTATGTTCAGTTAGACCTCTGCATCCAATTCTAGATGAAGAACTTAGGTGGATCTCCAAGTCGAGTTCATTCGCCTTCTCGAAAGAGCTAGTTGGTACAGTACCAGTAGCCAGTTGACAACATCTGACTTGTGGATCAATCAGCACACAATCAGATGGATTTTGTGATTGAGCAGAATTGCCTTGAAATGAGGTCAAGTTAATGGAAAAGTTAGTGGTTGAGGATGCATCCACAGAATCATTTATATTATCGGTTTTTCGCAAGAGTGGGTGGAAGTCAATACATGAGCTCAAGGAGGTTTCCTTTGACCTTAGAGATTTGTTAATAGAATCAACTTGGGGATTGGGATGGGGCTTACAGAGGAGATTGAGATTTGTTTGAAGTTGATTTTGTGGTAAGAAAGCAAAAGCACTAGAAGCCGTGCCACACTTTAACGGATAGTATGGAAAACTCCCATCTTCAGGGGCCTGGAATAGTAAAGGATGCATCTGAAGATCGGGCTCAGCACCTTTCTCTTCTGGGATATGTTGTTCCACAGGTAGTCCTGGATCTTGTGGACAAAGACTTGCAGTTTTGTCATTGGAAACGACATTTTTTTCCCCAACATTTACTAAATGGGTAAAACCTGATTTTGCAATATGAAGTCTTGGAAGCAGATCTGTTCCAGCAGCACCCACATTCCCACCACAGGCACCACCAGAAATTTTAGAAGAATAAGATGATCCACAGTGGTAGCTTTTGAAAGCAGATTGAGAGATCACACGAACAGATGGAGGAAGATTTACAGGAGGTAAGTCAGGTGCTAACTTGACCACCTGGACAAATTTTCTCCTACGAACTCGGTATGGCCGCAAACTGACTTGGCTTCTGGATGATGTAGAGATTCTCTCAGAAGACAAATCAGTAGAGGCTGGGGTTAATGATGTGTTATAGCTAACTTGAGTTAAATGGGATGCATTCTGCAGATGTTGGGAGTAACTCAAAGCAGGCAGAATTTCATGTGTGGACCCAATTTTTTGTTGAAGTTCTCCTTGCCCACCCAACTGCAAGTTTCTATTGCCAAGGCTTGCCAGAGGATGTTCATAAGATATGTCCTTAGAATTTCCAGGTCTCCAATCTGCTAAGAAGGCTTCATGAACATAAGCTTCATCTTCATCATCTGTGTTACCATCTCCACTATTATTTCCTTCATCAGCATTATCAACCTGAAAGTCCTGCACCCAAAATAAAGTCACCATGAGGACACTAAGTCAGTTTATTAATGATGCAACTGAAGTATTGAACATAGTTCTGTGATAGATTGCCTATTGCATTATTATTATGGTAATGGGCCCATGGCTGTCAAAACTTTAACAACAGCACAAATATGCACATCAAGTATATATTAGACATTCCTATACCCAAGGTTCAAAGTATCAAATCGTTTCGGGACCTCTCCGACACTCCCCTACAGTGGGTGTATCGGGGGTCTGACCGGCCCAAGGGGTGGAGGAGCTCTAAACCGGCCCCCCTGAACCAATTTTGAAAAAAAAAATAAAATAAAGTAAAAAAAAAGGTATCAATTTTCCCAATACGCCCCTACCAGCGTATCGGGCGTATCAATATTTTGAACCTTGCCTATACCTATAATAAAATTGAGGATGGTAACAATGTTTCGTCAAAAAACCTAATTTCCCTCCCCCTTTTATCCCCTATGTCTTTTGTCTTCCCAGTATTTATATAACCTATCATTAAGTGGGCCATACACTGCCAGCCAAAATTTTTTCAATAAAGTGACAAGTACTAAATGTAAACATAGTTGTATCCTTTCATTTTTACCCTCATCAATTTTTGTTATTCCAATGTTTGATCTCTTATAAATGGCCATGCATACTATCCAGTGAAGACCCTCATGCCACCTATTATTTTCATGATTAAAACCCATTGCAACATATTGTCAATTACACACAGGATACATAGGGATTGCTAAATGTTGGTTGGAGATCTCATAACCAATAATTTTACCATTATTTATGTTTTTGCTTAAATCCTATATCAACTACTCTATAAATCCACCCTGATATTTAGAATAAAAAATATAAATTCATGAACCTCACCTAGGATTAATGTAAGGCTACGCTATCTCATAACCAATGATTTTACCATTATTTATATTTTTGCTTAAATCCTATATCAACTACTCTATAAATCCACCCTGATATTTAGAATAAAAAATATAAAATCATGAACCTCACCTAGGATTAATGTAATGCTACGCTATGTCAATCAATGTGTTAAATCATCTACAATTCCATGATATAAAAGTCATGCATGTGGAATCATCTAAACACCAAAACTTGAAAAGAATACAAAAGACACCTCTTATTGAATTAATATTAATTTTAATTAGATAATAAGAATTATGATATTAATAGTAATTTAGGGTTGATTGCATAAGTTTTTTTTTCTTTTTTGAAAAATGGATGAAACATAATAGTAAAGACTCAATAAGAAGGCTTCAATTATTTATTATAGCCATGTTATGGTTGTCTAGAAAGGGGATCCACATTCAATGGACCATAAGAAATATATCTTCTTCAAAGAAGAAATCAACTATAAATATGATTCATACAAAGTTATTCTTACTTGATAGCCAAATTGGGAGCATATAAGAATTATGAATAAGAGCAAAATGTGAACACAACATTATTAAGAAGGTAGATATGCAAATTGCAAACTAGGGCACGTATAAGAATTATAAATCGAACTAAGCATGTGAGTATAGCATATGAAGATAGGTGCACATGTGCAAATTGACTTGTGTTTGAGAATTACAAAATTCTGAACCATGTTTTGTCATGAAGTAGTGAAAATGTGCAAATTAGAGACAATACAAAAAAGGGCATGAAGATGGTTGAGAATACGCATACAAACGGATAAGAAAGTGATAGCAAAGAAATAATCATAAATTGTCAAACATCAATCAAACCACTTTCTATTGGCCTAAATACAAGTCCTTCCAAAGTTGGGGTCAAGTTGATATGTTGCAGGATCAATGTCGTATGCATGCCATCTCAGGTCAACACAAGTAAAATTGAGACAAAACAAAGGACCCTTGGCCACCACAGGTTTTCTAGACACTAATCATAAATAAACTAACCTCTTTGTCAGATATAGTTTGCCACCTGGCCAAAGCTGCTTGCTTTCTTCTCTTGGACTCATATAATCTCCGTTTCTCCTTTTTCGCAGCATCTGTCTTATATGATTTCTGAGTTCCAAGAGCAATACGCCACTGCCGGGGTAGTAAGGATGGATCTCTATAAGGGACAATATATTTCCATATAGACATCCAATCAAGCTTTAGGACCCTGAGTCCCTGGAATAATTAATAAATGCATGAATAGAATAATGAAAATAGCTTGCTAGGTACCACAGAACTGGGCTATTAAATGGTAAAAAAAAATGCAACAAGGGAACCTAATCATATCACACCTCATGAATGCGTGCCTTCTCCTCTACTGTTAAGGGAGATGTTTTCATCCGTCGAACAGCCTGGACAAAGTAAAGCACAGCAAACTTAATAGGGTTATAAACAAGAGAAAGAATCTGAAAGCTCAAAGATCCATATGGTACCCAGGTTTAATTCTGAAAATATAGATGTGGTATTTGCTTATTGGTTAGGGCAATCCACTAATAAGTCAACACTGAGCTGCATAGGGATTAAGTATCACATCAATTTGATAATTGTGACCATCCAATCAATATAAAGTCTATGGGTCATTTACACATGCTGAGAGTGAATATTCCAATCACACAGTGCAAGCCAAGAGATGAATCAACTGTACAAATCGTGCTGGGAGTTTATAAAGGAGAATTTCATGCTTCAGTAGCCTTGAAAAGAAGCCTAAAAATTCTACCTTAATTACACTCACACCAAAGAAGGAAGGGGCTGTGAAGCTTAGAGACTACAGACCCATTAGTCTTATTGGCAGTGTGTATAAAATTAGAATAATCTCCAAGGTACTAGCCTAAAGACTGAAATCAGTTTTGGGCGACATAATCTCTGACAGACAAGGAGCTTTTGTTTATGGAAGGCTGATGATAGATGGGGTGCAAGTGGCGAATGACAATGCAAATTGAAAGCTCTTGGACTATATATTAAACAGAATGAATATATTTTCTCTCAAAAATATATTAAGCAGAATGAATTTTGGTTCAAGGTGGAGAAACTGGACAAAGGCGTGTATCACATCTCTTTTCTCAGTGATGGTAGATGGGGTAGCTTTTGGAAGTTTCAAGAGTTCAAGAGGACAAGATAAGGGGATCCACCATCCCCCTTCTTATTTGTGTGATGGAAGCACTTAGCAGAATGGTGAAGAGGGCAGTGAGGGAGGTTTTGTAGAAGGTTTGGGTGAAGAGGGGAAGTTCCCATACTACAATTTGCAGATAACACTTTTTTCTGCAATGTATCCCAAGAACAGTTGGGAATATTTATGGCAACACTTGCATGGTTTGAGATAGTGCAAGTACAAAACTCGAGGCAGTGAGCAGAAGAATGGGAGTGTAAAGTGGGGAAGTTGCCAAAAAATACATGGATATGCCTTTGGGAGCTAAATGCAATTCAAAATCATTTTAAAAATCTACTCTTGATAAGGTTGAAGACAGGTTGGCATCATGGAAAACTAAATATCTATCGAAGGAAGATAAGACCACCCTACTAAAAAGCATATTATCATGTCTTCCCATACATCTATTTTACATGTACCCAATCCCAACAGGTATGGCAGCAGCTACTGAAAGAGTGAAAGGAAAGAGAGAGAGTTTATGTGGAAGGGATGGAGGGAAGAGAAACATCTTGTCAAACTAGCAAAGGTGTGTAAACCAAAGAAGCATGGAGTGTTGGCAGTAAGAAGATTGAAGGATGTGAATAAGGCCTTGCTAAGTAAGTGGTTTTGGAGGTTCAGAGAGCAGCAGGGGGTTATGGACGAGAGTGATCCAGGCCAAATGGATTGGAACCCTGGAGATCTGAACCAGACTAATGGATGCTCAGTTTGTACAAAAAAAAATGAGAGTTTATTCCGCAGGCAAGTTCGATTCAAGATCTGAATAAGGAGAGAACTTTATCTCTGGGGATTTAGATACCAGTTCAGGGTGTCCATGAGGATGTAGTCTTCTGTTGAGAATATGCAAAATGTTGTAAGGGCTTTTTCTTCTTTTGTATTTGGGCTCCCAAGTAAGGGCAAACTTGTACTTTTCAGCATAACATAAAAGATTTGTCTTGGCTGTGAACAGTAACTGAGACACACCATTCAAACTCTCCTCTTCTTCTTCTTCTTCTCTTCTCCCCTCTTCTCCTCCCTTCTCTTCTTTTTTTGGCTTTACATTAGTTGACTTGGTATCAGAGCAATACCTGGATTCAGGTAGGCTTCTGCTGGTGTCCATTACCCTAGAGACAACCTGCTGTCATCAAACCGTCACCAAATAACATCAGCAGTCAGTACAAGTGGTGGCAATCATCCTTGAGACTGGTATTGTTCCAATCGCCTTGAATTTAGGGATTTTTTGGTGTAGGTTTCACAGCCAAGTGAAACGTCCATGACTTGTTATGATTTTTCCAAAAGAAAATTCACAAAAAATTCACATTTGAGTTTTGAAGCTGTTTCAACGCCTTTAATGAAGTTTTCTCTTCTATACCAATTTCATTTGGCTTGTTTTATATTTCTAGGAAGACAGGAAGATGTCCCATAATTTTCTGAACCCAGAAAATTTTTTGGGCCTTTTCTTCTTATATTTTGCCGCCCATACCGTTTTTGGGATTGTTGTTGCTTCTTAGTTGTGTGTTGGTTCTTCTCTTGGCCTTGTTGTGTGCCAGTGGTGCATTGGAACTCTTTGTGACTCTCAAAATTATTCCTAGTTAAGAAATGGAGGCTTCTAAGTATGTTCACTTGGTTTCCGGAGTGCTTCCAGGAAACATGGCTACCTCCAGTGGCATGATAACCACTGAAACTTGATGGAACCAACTTCGTGGAATGGTCCCAGTCAGATAAGGTCACCATTGGAGGAAGAGGTAAGTTGGGTTTTATTACCGGAAAGGAAACCAAGCCTAAATTAGAAGACCCAAAGTTTGCTAAATGGGAGCAAGTCTGTATATTGTGTATACTTTGTCTATGTACAAGAATATTCTGTATGAAGTAGAATTTTTTGTCTAGGTAAATTTTTTGCATAAATTCCCACTAGAGATGATCTAAGGAGAGGGATGAACTTCACAGCTTCTCTTTCGTGGTATGAACCAGAATTTTGGCTATGTTTGGTGTAAGAAGTTGTTTCCAGCAACTGTTGGGGAGTTTTTAAAGGGAAACGGTTTTCAGGGATTGACTTGTAAAGAGAAAATTTCTCGGAGCATAATACCAGCAGCTATTTTTTAAGTGATTTGGCAGGATAGAAATGGAAGAGTTTTTTTCACAACAGGCATAGTTCAGTTGATACGGTTGTTCAGAAAGAAGTAGGAAAGCTATACTCTTGGTTGGGTATACATAAACTCTTTAAATGAACTATAGCTCATTTTTTGCACATGAAAGTCTTTTTGTAAACAGTCAAGGGATAGTATCCTTGTAAGGAATGGGGAGGCTTTTTTCTATTTTCCCATTGTACAGCCTTTAGTTGTACAGGGGTCTTGTTTTGGATATAATGAAATGACAATACTTTGCCTTTTCTCAAAAAAAAAAAAGATAATCAACTATTGGATGGTACACTTCATAATTTGAACAAATTATTATCCATTTGGAGAGAATTTCAGAGTAAAACAACAAAAGAAGACCTATCACTGTTCAGAAGTTGATTGCCCCCTCTAAGAGGGAAGATATTATACATACCTTTATAGGATTTTCAGGAGCTTTAGAAGAGCAGCGATTTTTCTGCCTAACAAAGATCTACAATAAAATACATGCAAAATAGTTGTTAGTCTTCTGAAAAATAGTTCAACTTCCTCCAATTACACTGACACCAGACTTAAATTGGATTTACCTTTTCTTATTTTTGAGTCAATACAATTTCTTAATAATGGAAAAGATCATTTCAATCAAATTTCTACCCACCAAGATGGAGATCTCTAACATATGTCTTGGTCCCAAAATATAAATATCTCCGCATGACCAATAAAAAATGAATTATAAATCATTAGCAAGTAATTTAATCATGCAATTCATTGCTAATATGGTTCAAGACATTGGCAAGGATAAAAAGTTGTAATAAATGCATTTGCTTTTTTTAGACTAGCTACCAAATTATTGCCAATATATCAAATAGTTTAATACATAAAGAAATATTTTAATCAACCACAGTATGAATTTTATAAACATTTGATGTTACAATGGAGAAATTAAAAGTATCTAGTCAATATAGTATTGACCATACCTCAAATCGCCTCACACAGTCACACTGTTCTATCTTATTAACCATGCAAAATACTCATATATAGCCTTATTTATTTTTTCAACGTATACCTAATTCAATCATTAGTTTTCAAAAAGAAAAAAGAATAGTGAGATAACTCATAAGCCATTGCATGGTAAAAGAAATACTATCATAGAAAAACTGAACTACATTACATCATTTAGCTCAAGCAAAACTAGGGTAAGATTTCGATTGTATAATACCACAAGAAAACCTAAAGTGCAAAGAAAGAAAGCATAAAAACAGAAAAGAACTAAACCTGATGTTTAGATTTGCAAGGAAGAAAACGCTGTTGAATTGCCTTCCAGTCAGTGTTATACTCCATTAATCCCATAGCCAATAATCTGTGTCACAAACATGCAGAAAGGGGGAAATAGGGAAAAGAATAGAATATTAGAAAACAAACTTCATAGCATCTGGCCTCCTAAAAGGAAAAAAAAAAAAAAAAACCAAACTTGGCCCCTAAAAATGCTAAGCTAGATTAGACAAGAAACTTGCAACACGAAACCAGCATTCATCAAAGGATACATAATCTCAAAAAGCCCCAGGACTGAATGGCAAAGCCAATACTAAAAATGTAGATACATATGAAAATCATGCATATAACACCTCCCTACAGCACCTTTGTCCCATGTTATTCAAGATCCGAGTTCTACAGGTGTAGATTGCACTATTGCAGTTGAAGGGTTCTCTTGGTAAAGATTGTTCATTAATTGATCAAGGTCTGGTTTATGGCAACAATTGATTCATGACACCACAGCGCTTTCTAGACATAGAAAGTGGTTTACAAAGGATGAAACAATTCTACTGTGGTTGTCCTTCCCTCGAATAAAAAGTTGTTTGGTCAATTTTATCACTTCCTTTCATGCTGTTTTTTTCAGCAACTAAAACTTCTTTTAAGTGCATCAGAAACATATAATGTATTTGTAACAGTAAGTACTCTCTCTACAGCGTACAAATGCACATGAAGCTAGCCATACTGCTTCCACCTTGCTCCTTCCAATCACTGAATTAGTGAAAAACAGATTGTCCCGCCACAAAGCCTTTCAACTAGCACCTTCACAGGCTAGAGAATCAGCAAGTGTATTAGCAGATCAAGGAATCCAGTAGTTATCTCTGCACCCAGATTTGCTGCCATTTGTCTTGCTTCTCTTAACTGATGCTGAGTGTCCATTGTTCAGCCAGCTCACCTTACAATAAGGATTTAATGGTTTTACAGTTCCCTTTCACAATAATATCAATAAATCCAGAAGATACGGCCAATTTCAGTCCTTGAAGCACAGCATATAATTCTGCTTGTATGGAATTGTGAGGTCCTCTCAAGTAGATGTTTAAATGAAGCTCATTTGAACTGGAAGAAACTAATCAGTTAAATAGGAAGATTGATTTCAAGAAAGTGGTTGACAGTTGAAGTTCAAGTCATTACAAAATTGACTTAGTTTGTCGGAATGAAATTGCATTTGAACTGGACAAGGAAGATACATAAAGAGAACTAGTACATGCTCAAATAATTCCATATGATCAAAATAGGGATGTCAGGTTAACTCACATGAACTGGAGGGGAAATGGTGTTCCAGGGATAGAGAATTTTAGTGGGCATGCTAGCCCAGGGGTCATGAAGGGAAGATGTGCAAATTGGGTTGCTCAATTTGAAAAATTCAACCCAACCTGACCCAAGTTGCACCCTAAGGGAGGGTAGCAATAAAGCATTCCAAAAGTGGGGAAAGTAGTGTCTCAAAAAATGGGAAATGGGTGTTTTGCGAGAATTTTGATCTAGAAATGGTGAGAAACCCAAAGTTGCTGATTGAGACATTTGAGGGTAATTCAACTTTGAGAATCAATTGGAAATGAAAGCTGAAATGTTGTAGCCGAAGCAGTAGAAGAGAGAAGAAGACCAAGAGATGCTGAGAATGTCGAACTGAATGACCCAGTCGACAGTACTATTATTTATATTAGAGTACAGTACAATGTTACAGGAAATGACTGGAATGCCCCAGATTAGTGATGGGACACCCAGACAACTTAAAACACTAAACAAACTTAGGCCCATTAACACAGGCCCAGTACATAACAACTTAAACTCAAATACAGGCTAATAAGAACTCTTATCATCCGAACCATCAATACATGAAAACCTTCAACCTAACACTCCCCCTCAAGCTAAGCATGGATGTCAATCATGTTTAGCTTGCCAAGAAGGTCCATGAACTTTGCTGCAGCCAACCCTTTAGTCAATACATCTGCAATTTGCATCTTAGATGGAGTATAAGGAATGTAGAGTTCTCCCGAGACTATTCTCTCTCTCACAAAATGTCGATCAATCTCAATATGTTTTGTCCTGTCATGTTGCACAGGGTTATTTGCAATGTTAATGGCAGCCTTGTTGTCACAATACAGTCTAAGAGGACCCTCAGCTTTAATGCCAAGCTCATTAAGAAGGGTCCTGAGCCATAGGAGTTCAGCAACCCCGTGAGCCATAGCTCGATATTTTGCTTCCGCACTTGATCTAGCAACTACATTCTGCTTCTTACTACGCCATGTGACCAGGCTCCCTCCCACAAATGTACAATATCCTGAAGTTGATTTTCTGACAACATGCATAGCATAAGCAATATCTGGCCGAGTGAGAGATAAGTATATCAACTTCCCTACCAATTTTTGGTATCTTTCTCTATCACAGTAGTCCTCCCCTACTGATTCCTATAGGCCATGATTCTGTTCTATTGGAGTATCTACTGGCCTACACCCTATCATGCATGTTTCCTCCAGGAGGTTAAGAACATACTTCCGTTGACATATGTAGATTCCTTCTCTTGACCTAGCAACTTCAATCCCAAGAAAATATCTCAAATGGCCCAAGTCTTTGATCTCAAATTCCGAAGCTAAAAACTYCTTCARYYTTTTTATCTCTTYCAAGTCATTCCYRRTAATCACCATATCATCCACATAAACAATGAGTGTCGTAAGTTTGCTATCCTGTCTCCTTATGAACAAGGTATGGTCTGCACCGCTCCGAGTGTACCCCACTTTCTTCATGGCCCTACAAAGCCTCTCAAACCATGCACGAGGAGACTGCTTCAAACCATATAATGCTTTCTTTATTTTACACACCTTTCTACCAAAGTCATAGCCTGGTGGAGGTTCCATAAAAAACCTCTTCATGAAGGTCACCATTTAGGAAGGAATTCTACACATCCAGCTGATGAAGTTCCCATGAAAAATTTGCTGCTAGTGACAATAGAACTCGAATTGTGCTGAGCTTTGCTACTGGGGCAAAGGTTTCTTTGTAGTCAATTCCTTCTTTTTGAGTAAACCCCTTTGCCACAAGTCTGGCCTTGTACCTTTCAA